ATGTTTTGAAAATGAGCTTTATATCAACTCTCTGAGGAACACCAAATCACTGTTTTGGTGTCAAAGCAACAGAATGACATACATGCTCATGTACACACATTCCAGAAATCTTCACGTAGATAACTCTGATCTCTGGTAGCAGTGGCTGAGGATGAGCGACCTATATAATAATACCTAGGGAAGGGAGTAGAGAGTGCAGACAGGTGACTGCAGCAGCTAAAGGGGGAGGCATTCAGCTCTCAGGTTGCATACTTTGGCATAGAACATCATGTGCTGGTAGCATATTCTGCTCAAGTAACAATGACAGTACTGTACAGCACACCCCTTATTGTGCATAATCAGCCATTGGTGAAGTGCAAAATTGATACTTGCCATGTGAAGTCTTTCCAAGATCAGTGAAAACATCATAAATCTTCATTTTCACATGCAAGGGCAGATGCTTTTTTCTTCACTTTACCATAAAAGGTGCCTGTTGAATCATACTCTTTAAATGTATAGGATTCAGTTAAGTGAGAGAGGCACATTCTTTGGGGTTTAGAGCTACAGTAACATTTTGTAAATCATGGAGGCTTTGTTGAACAACCTCAGTGAAAAATCTAGCTGGAATTTATGACCTGAAATTAATTGCAAAATCTGTTTAGGATGTTTTGTCCACCTGTTTGTGTGCCTTGCAGTAATTGTTCTTAACAATTCTGAGAAAAGCTTCTCTGATGCCACAGTTGAGATTGAAGATATCTGTTGAAAGTAACTTAGAATATGATGTTATAAATTGAAACTGATGTTCTTTTGGAAAATAACAACATGAACTAATGTGGACAGTTATATGCTTTGCAATTATAGTGTAGCCTTGGATCCTTTTTCCTCACTGAAAGACATCAGCAGCTATACTTTTAGTCAATTAGCCATATTAATTTTGTTTTCATTAGTTTTGTGTGTACACATTTTCTAACTGCCGAATTAGAAAAGTGTGATTTTCCCACAAAAAGCTCTAAAATGTCCGTCCTTTGAGTCTCCAAACTACTTTTCACGTAGTACATACATCAGCAAGGTACTACAGCTGTTGCCACTGGTAAAAGAGGAGAGATATTCTTCTAGCAATTACAGTCCAATAGCACAGTTCCTCATTGTTCCATAGTTTCTGATAGCTGGCAAACTAAAGAAGATTTTGGTTTATAATATGCGACTGAAAGACTATGCCTTGACTACAAGGAGCTATTTAATCCTCATGTGAAATTGGAAAAATAAGATTTATCCCCTTTCTCCTATCATCTTTTCCATGATGCTTCCACAAATTATTTCAATATATTGTACTTTTCTAGTCCTTTTAATGTCCTTGGGCCCATATTGGACAAAAGTAAAAATCACTGCACAAATGTTTATTGAGCACAAAAGTGGATGTTTCAGGTTGTTGTCTTAAATGTGACCTACCTACCTACCCAGAAGTGTCAGGAAATTTTATGGAAAACTTCACCTGAAATCTGGAGATGGCATTTCCTCTCCCTCCACCACCCCCCATGCAGAAATTATATAGTCCCCAGGAGCTGCCATGAAAAAGTACCAAAACTGTCCAAATATTGAATGTATAGACCAGTCTTCCATAATGTAGCAGTACAAAACAGTTGGTGGGCATAAGTCTCATTATCTGTAGCTAGCATGGCATTTGGTGAGAGCTGATGGGCATTGTACTCCAGAAGAGTTGGAAGACCTCATGTTAATTGAAAAAGACTGGTATAGGCTAGACCCAACTACTTGGTAGAACAATTGTTTGAAGGAGACATGAACAATGAAGCAAGCGACAGAGCCTAATGAATATCTATTCTTCAGGAACATGGAAAAAAGTGATAGCCCTGCTCTTCCTTTGCAGTCTTACTTGGGGAGCAGAAAAACAGAAGAGAGACTTGAATCAGGAAAACTTAACAATTGTGGCATTCTGTATTCACTTTAGCAAATCCAAAGTATTCTGTGGTAGTTAATGTAATACCTTTTTACTTGCCATCCTATGGGAATATTTCAAATCTAATGCTCTTTACCAAATGTTGAATCCTTTATTTATTTAGATCTTGCTCTTTCTTGCATGGAGTCCAGGGTGGTGAAACCCATATATGACAAATACCACACCTTCATGCTATTAAAATGACACTCACATTACAGATAATTCATTATACTAAAACCATCACAACTTCAGAAAATTGATAGAACACTTGTTTGGATGCCCCACACATGTTCAAGTAAATATGAATGAAAACCTCATGGGAGGATAACTCAGTCATTAGTGGAAGAGAATTCCAAAGGTAGGTTGCCACCAGAGTGAATGTTCCATTGGCCACATTTCTCAAGGATGCCACAAACAAAATCTCCCCAGCTAGTCTTAAATCTTAGGCAGATAGCACTGGAGAAGGTGGTCCTTCAGGTACCTGGAATTGGGCCTAGTAGTTCACTGGTAGCCAGTACAGAGATTTCCAAGCTGGTGATATTCTCTCACTCTTCCTGACAGCATGCACACCATTGTGCACCAGCTACAGTTTTCAGATTATATTGGAGTCCCCCAAATAAAGACCTTTGTGATAGTCCAGTCATGAAGTTACCAGAACATGAAATACTGGTGCCAGGTTATCCTCGCCCAGAAATAGCCATAGCCAGTAAATTGTCCATAATTGATCATAAGCAGTGCTCACTGCTGAGCCTACTTAGATCTTGGTGTCAGCTTCAAGTTGAGGGTTTCTCCTGGACTGCATACCCACTTCATCTAGGGAGTGCTACTCCACCCAAACAGGTTTACTGAATTTCTGGACCAGGAAGCCTAGCTGTAGAACTTCCATCTTATCCAGATTTAATTTCAGTTGTTTGGCTGTCATCCTGCCCATCACTATCTCCTGGTATTCATACGGCCTTTCATAATTCAGATGAAATCGGGGGGGGGGTGTTGGTTGCATTACATACTGATGGCAGAATGCTCCAAATTCCCAGGTGATACCCCCAGCAGTTTCATATAGATGTTAAATTGCATGTAAGACAAGATGGAACCTGGTGGGACCACACAGCATGGATATGAAGCTGAGCAGAAGTCTCCTAACACTGTTTTTTGGGAAGTGTAACAAGGCATTTACCACCCCTGGATCCAGGGAATGCAAAATGCCTGAGCAGAGATGACTTTTTTTGAGCAGATAGATGCCTGAGTAGGGATCACTTTGAACACATAGATAAGAGAGATAAAAGATTATTGGGATAGGTGTAGCAGTTCTCAGGATAAATGCTTTATCTCAAAGATAAAACATATTTTTTGTTCTTGAACCAAATTGTTAACATTCTTAATTTACTGAAAGTCAAAACATTTGGCAATGTTGCAAGTTCCTTTCTACTGGAAATGTTTTGCAGTCATTACTGGATCCATTTTAAGTAGGCTGTAGCTACCTCAAAGCTTGAGTTTGTTGTAACAACACAAGAAAAGCTATGCCTGCTCAGGCTGAAGGCCCATCTAGCTCACGGTTCTGATCACACAGTGGCCACCAGCTGCCTGTGGGACACCTGCAAGTGGGACATAAGTGCACTTCCACATTCCCCAGCAGCTGGTCTCCAGTCAGTGCATAGCCATCATGTTTAGTGGCCATGGTAATGTTTTCCGCAATTCAACTATGTGTTGTGTGAAGAAGTGTTAACCTTAAAGAGTCACAAGTTGGATAACTCTTGTCTTCTACCCTTGTAATGGATTTGCTAATGGATAATGATATGATGCTTTCCATATCAAAGCTAGAGAGGCTAATGATCATATAGATGCTACTCCAGTGCAAAAAGACTTGTCTGTCTTCTTTTTAACGTTTGGTGGGTAGTTGATGGTTTCCAAAGTACCACGTAATCCCATGTTGTGAAACATGGCAAGTTGCCTACACATTTAACATCTCTGCAACAATCAAGTGTTGTATTTACACCATCCTTTTAATATAGCACCTCTAAATGGCCTGTGTACACATTTACTACCGGTTAGAAATCTGAGTGCATTGTACAGTTTGAAGGGCATGATGATTTTAGAGGGGCAGTAGCTGGTGCAGCTTCTCCCAGAGGTGTTTTGGGGTTTAAAGATCTGTTCAAATGCTAACAGAATCAAACTACTTTGTTGGTTCCAGGTCAGCTACTTCACTCTACAGAGTTCCTTTAAAATTCATGTAGAGCAAGCCATCCCTAACATGATATACTCCAGATGTGTTGGACTATAACTCCCACCACCTGAAAGCAGAACTAGCTAAATTAGCAGGGTTTGGCAGGCACTGTAGTCTGCCGCCTCTTTGGAAGGCATCACTATGGGGAAGCCTGTCCTAGTGAGTGCAAAGCTTCTGGTCAGCAGTGATGGTGGAAATGTTCTAGTTCTGAAATGGCGTTTTTTGGTTTCAACTACTCCTAGACAGACATTTGTCTTCTTTTATCAGTAAATATCTGACAAATAATGAGGAAGTTTGGGTTATTGTATTGCTCAAAAAGGAGAAATTATGAGCAAGGAATGATCTATTTGGTCTCTTACTATTTTGGTTAATACCTGCTTAGCACAAATGTTTTATCTGTTTTACAGTCCTAACTGTACTGACTGTTGGATATTCAGAAGCCTTCCCAGAAATGCAGAAAGGTAGAGAGGATCTTGAAACCCTTCTGCCAGATATAATACACACATAGAGAGACCAGGAACCCTCTAGTTCCTTCCAACTCCCCCCACCCCCTCATTTCTTAGCAGTCAGAGCCTGGTGTATCATGCATATTTTGATATGAGTGTTAATTGCATGTGTGATGGTGACCAGTACCAGTGTGCTTGGAGCAGTTAAATAATTGCAGAAAAGGTTAAATGGCTAGTAAGACTGTCCTGGGAAGTGTCAGTCTGTATTGCTGGAGGTGCAATCTGTGACAAGGAATGTGTGGGTAATGTCTACCAGTGGAATGCAAATAATGATTGCCATTAAAACGTTGTTTGACAAACCTTCATGCAATTGATTTTTCACCATTGTATTCCTTTTCAGATGAGACAGACCGTGGAGTGGACCAAATAGATGGAAATGAGCGTGCTGACTCCCCAGGTTGTGAAGAAAGTGATGCCAACGAAAATCAGAAGTTGCGACTTCCCACGTGCTCTGATATGATCTGTGGATATGCATGTCTGAAAGGTATCCTGGATAATAATGTAAAGGTCTGCAATGCTACTAGTGAAGTGCTGTAAGGTTGTTACACCTTCTGAACTCTTTTTACTTTGGATTGGCTTTATTCCTTTGTTTATAGGTACAGCTGCTATGAGAAATACTAAGCGTGGATCCTGGTATATAGAAGCTCTTACCACTGTGTTTGCTGAAGACTCCAGAAATATGCATGTGGCTGACATGCTTGTGAAGGTGAGCTGGAGTGCTTTGCTTTGCTTTGCTTCTTGCTTCTGGATGGGTTTACATACAGAGATACCAAAAGTGGTATGTTACTGCTTTAACATTGAACTGCTTGTGGCGTGTGCTTGAGATAAAGAGCCAGGAGAATTAAATGCTATTATCTTGTACCTTCAGATAGATTTGGGAAGAATTGTGCAGCAGAAATAGCACGATATATAACTCATTGAAACTGTTCTGACCCTAGGCACAGGATGGCCTCTGGGGACATCCCCCAGGGCTGAATGACATCAGTGCAGACCCCTCTCTCTCAAAACCCTGTCCTCTAATGCCTTTGTGCAGAAAGCAACAGAGCAGTTACCCTGTGCTTTTCTGTGCATGGGGAAAAGAGCAGACTTTCCCTGGCTGTCTTTCTCTAAGGCTGATCATGGAAATTCCACTCAAAAATAAGAGCAGGGTTTCTCTTCTCAGTGCTAGAAAAAGGAAACATTTCTCTAGCACTCAATAGTGGAGTGGAGTGTGGGGTATGGGTGGATCCTGTGACAGAAGTAGGTTTCCCACCCCTGCTTTAGCTACATGTCTGCAGGTGTGAAGCAAACACAGGTCCTATCTCTCTTGAACTGAAATAACATACGCCAAGAGTCAAAAGTGCTTTTTCTCTTTTTTAGGTGAACAGATTGATCAAGCATCGAGAAGGCCATGCCCCTGGTACAGAGTTCCATCGTTGCAAGGAGATGTCTGAGTATAGTAGCACTCTCTGCCGAGACCTGTACCTATTCCCAGGACTATATCCTGGGAATTAGCCCTCTCTTCCTTGCTCTAAGGGGCCTGCTTCCCCTAAAGGCAAACAACTTAGAACTCTGTGCATTGACCTTCCAGTAAAGGTCTAGGGCTGCACTTTTCTCATAACATTTTCTGTGAGAGAGCTTCAAAGCACAGCAGAAAGGTAGAATGATGAGCTGTTGCGTATGGTCCCTGCTTTCATTTCTGAGTTTTCCTGATTTTAATGAAAATGTGATGTTTATCTGAAGCATCCTGACCTGTGGAAAGACAATATAGAAATGGTTTGAGCTGCTTGTGCATGGGAGGCAACTTGAGATTCCCTCTGAAATCTCACTGATCTCATTATTGTCGACAGAACTTGGCAACTCTCTGCAACCCCATTCAGAATTTACAATTTTAGGTTTATGTGCCCAAACCTGGGACCAATGGGAAGCACCTTAATTATTGTTTGTGTGTTTTTATAGCAAACAGGAAAGTTAATGATCATTCATAGTACTTTTATATAAAAAAGAAACATGATTTAAAAAAAAACCCTAAGTTTTATACATCAAATGTTATGCTTTTAAAACAAGTGCATGATGTTTTCCTTGGTTACCTGTACACTTGAAAAATGTCTAGTTAAGCTGAAAAGGGACCTCATTTTAAAAAATGAAGGATGTGTAGACTAATAAAGCCAGTTTGGAGTAGATGGACTAATACTGAAGTTGTTTTATATGGTTAAATAATCTGCCCCATCTGTAGATGCAGCTGTAATTTCAGTTTTGTTGAAAAGAAATGTTGTATCTACTTGGTGTTTACCATACAATCTCTTGAAAAAGGTGATACATGTGGGGGGAAGCATTTTTTCCACAACACTCAGGATTTAGAAACAGTTGAGATTAATAGATGAATATCCATTCTGCTAGTTTTTTGCTTATTTCCAAGTAAACATGCATAGGATCGTATTCCTATTTTGCTATCTTGCAGGCAGCATAAAGTGTAAATGTAGTTTAAGTTTTTCCTCCTGTAGAAGACTTGGAGGGGGAGTTTTCTACTCAAGCACTTGTCATCAGTGAATGGTAAAATGCAAGCCTAATTATATAGGTTATACAGTTTTTTCAATGAGTTACATACGTATTACTTCTTAGAACCAAACTGGACAATTGACACATTTGCATGATCATATCCAATTTTAATAAACTAAGATACGGTTGAGCCTTGTACCCCTGCATTTAGTTACTTTGATTCTCCATCATGCCATAAGCCAAGACTTCAATTAACTGTTGTCTTCTCTTCCATCCAAACTCAGATGAAACATGCATAGAAGTTGGCTTTGTATCCCTGCAGGTTCCAAAGGTGTTAACCATAGCTTTACAGTTTGGACAAAATGGGGAACAGTAGTTAAGTGAAGTCTTCAGGATTTGATGGCTAGCTTGTATACTCAGCAGAACAAAGTGCCATACTTGCCCACAAGTATTTGTTGGGCCAGTGAGGGGAAACAGGGAGAAGAATATAATTTGCTAGAGTCGTGTCTATGCATTCTTTTCTCCGCTACTGTAACCAGGCCTGTTATTAAAAGAACTACCTTGAGAAATAAAAAACATTTAGAACATTCAGTTTTATTTATACATATGTATGTAAACTGAAGTGGTCCAACATTCCAAACACCCAGCATCAGTAGGTACTTAGCTGTAGTGGCAATTAGCACCTAGATTTACTGGACCCTAAGCTTAGCAGGTATCTTTGCACTCCTGTATCTCTTTTTTGCCTGTATTTTAATATTTTGACTTTTTATACCCCAATAAGCCTAGAATCGAGGACTTAATGCTTAAACCAGTTCCCTTAGTTTGAAGTAGATGCTCTTTCATCTTTATTGCCCATTAAGATCCCCTTTTCCAAGACTTTGAAAAATATTTTTATAGGATGTTCATATATTTTTTTAAATAAACAAATATAATTGTTAGGAAAAGAGAGTGAGGGAGAATAATCTAGCGATGGAACAGAAGGCTGGGATGCATTGTCCAGTGAATATGAAGGTCCTTTTCTTCTTCCCCGAAGTCCAAATGCTGCAGCTGGATTGTGTGTCATGCCTGGAAGGGAGTAAGTGTGGTTTCAGGGCTAACGGGCAGCTCAGGAGGATAACTCAGGGGTTCTTTCCTCTGTGTAAAAATAGAAAAATGTGGCAGATTTCGTCACAAATTGGTGCTTGATAACTGTGTAAGGACAGCTGTCCCCACACCTTGCAAAGGAGAGGCCAGATCTTTATCACTGCCACTTTTTATAATAAATGTTTATATGTAGACTGCCTCTATGTGCCAAAATAAAAAGTGATTTCATTTTTCTAACAGGCATTGTCTCTTTTATTATGGGCCCTGGAATCTTCTTCTAGACTTACAACACAACTTATGCAAGAAATGAGTCTCCCTATTGCCAGAGGTCCCTGGCATGGTAGTAAATTATTTGTGCTGATACTGAAATGTTGACCCATACAGCAAGTGTATGATTTGTGTAGCTCTGAGTGGTTGTCCTCCATGTTTAGAGCATTCAAAGCGGGACCCCTCCAAGAGCATTCTCTGAGCAATATCATTATCCTAACTCCACCCCACCCCATGCAACTACATAATTGTGTAATCTGTTGTATACTGTGGTTTTGATGGTCTAAATGGAATGCCTCCATTGATGGGTAGTAACTTGATGTAACCAAATATTGTTTAAAAATTCCATGCCTGTGTAAATTACCATTAAGAGGTGTGGTACACATTCAAAATAACTGCATGGTATCAGGTGTTCTTTCCTCCATGTTGCTATTTGCCCCATGGTGTTTTGAATTTGTATGTGGCTTAGCAGCTTTTCTGATAAACAGCTGTGTGCCATCAGTCTGGTTCCATTTTGGTTCAAGTGGCATTAATCCCTCCTGTACAGGCCCAGCTCGTCACAAAATGTGCCTTCATGGCCTCAAGGGAATGAAGTTCTTTGAGTGCTATGAACTCATCACATTGAGTACAAACACACAACTTGCACCAGTCGGCATCTAGTCATACATGTAGCACTCAGCACTATGCACTGGACAGCCCCACATTTCTCCTGGCTCTCTATCTTCATTATTGGGCTTGTTCACCTGGACAACCTAGGAGTTTAGGTATTTTAAAATTTTCATTTCTTTATTTTACTTGGAGAAGGTGGTCGCCTGGTTGCTTGTGGGCTAACATTTTTTTTCCGATTTATATCCTGCCTTTTTCCTACAAAGGGCTCAAGGCAGCTTACATCATTCTCCTCCTCCATCTTATCCCCACAACATCAACCCTGTGAGGTAGGTTGGGCTGAGAGTCTATGACTGGCCCAAAG